CAATCCACTCACCTCAGCCTCCCAAAGTGCTGGGATTACAGGCAGAGCCACTGAACCTGACGTATTTTGTTATGGCACCCTAGCAAACTAATAACAGTCTTTTTTACATAACACATTCATAAATTAAAGCAGGAAGAACTGAGAACTTTATGACATTGAGCCTTCCCTTTCAAAAACATGGGTTTCCTTCCATTTGTGCATCAGTAGATTAGTCCGTTACAAGGTCAAGATTTGGAAACAATGTTATATCTGCTTAATACAGACATTTTGAGAGTTTTCTTATTTTCTAAACAATTAGAATTAGTTCTTTAAGGCTTTGTGAAAGTATCCGGGCCTAAACCAAATCTCAGACCAGCTATCAGCAGAAGATTTCAGGAGATTGAGAAAGAAAGCCTTCTTTTCACAGGTCATGAGGATCCCCTTTTGGTTTGGCACAGTGGCTCACATCTGTAATCCCATCACTCTGAAGAGACTGAGACAGGAGAACTGCTGGAGCCCAGGAGCTGGAAATCAGCCTAGGCAACATAGCTGGAGATCAGCCTAGGCAACATAGACCCAATCTCTACAAAAATAAAAATAAAAAATAGCTGGATGCGGTGGGGCAAACCTGTAGTGAAGCAGACAATCACCTGAGCCCAGGAAGTCAAGGCTGCAGTGAGCTGTGATCCTGCACTGCACCCCAGCCTGGGCAACGAGGGAGACCCCAACACACACACACACACACACACACACACACACACACACAGTTTCCTCTTCTATAGCTATAGCAGCAAACTCTTAAAATCTAGTCTCTGTTTAATGTCATGCCTCCTCTGTCACTCAAAACCAAAACCTGGTTTAGGAGAAGTTCCACCTGTATCCCTGCCGTTCATCTGTCCCTTCACCGGCCACTGAAGAGGCATAGTCTCTGCAATCCTCATCACTTTTTGAAAGACTACATACTGTTTTGGAAAGGGAAAAGGTACAGGGTGGTTCCTGCTCACACAGGCACTTTCTGTAACTTCTCTCTCAGCCTCCCCATTCAGTCTCAATGCTGTTACAGCACTTCCTACTCAGGCTGGGGCCCTATCTTCTAAAAGGGTATATTTATTGGTGACGTCTGAGTTTAACACTTTTTGTTTCCTTGATGAAGCAACATAAGTTTCCATGAGGGTCCTCTTGCCTTGACAGTAATGGTCTTAGCTGCTGTGGCATTTTGCGATGTTCTCAGTTTCAATGAGAAATGTAGTTGGGCTTTTGTTTCATCCATCTTGTTATTCTTTGCAGTTTCCAATGGAAAAAAAGGCAAAATTCACAACAAAGCTGCTAAAGTTACCTACTACCACATGTGTGTTACAAATTCCAAGTCCAACTTCTTTTTAAGTAGCTTTTTCATACATGGTATTTTTAAAAGTTCATATGATATTTGAATTTCATTAAATGGTCTGGCAAATGATTGTTCAATGCTGACTTTGAGTTATTTTGTGTATTTGTGGTGATATTTAAGCTCATTTTTCTTTTCTTTTCTTTTTTTTTTTTTTTGAGTTGGAG